TTTGGACTGTGCATGATGAATTCAGAGGTGTTTTCAGCAATATAAAATCAAGTATAATCAATATAAATCAATCAAGAAATATAATCAAATTACTAAAGAGAAATATTTGCATTCATTGTTAATAAATTGTTTTATTATAGCATGCAGCTATGTTGTCTGTGTGTAGGCCTGTCACGATAACAACTTTTTGTTGTACGATATATTGCCCCAGAAATAATTGCGATAAGCGATATTATTGCATTTTCTAGCAAGAAGTGCAAAGTAACAAGTAGAAAAAAATAAAAATGCATAAAGAACTTGTATGGAGATTTTTCCATCTACAGATTTTTCCCTGACCTTCTTTTCTCTGTAAATGAAGGGTGCACACTATTGCTGAAAAACACAATTACTACTTAGCAGTCAGATGTCCGTATGCACAAAGGCACAGATCCCTAAACAAGACCATATCTGCAGATGAAACTTTTTTGTAGAAGCATTTTTTAAATTTGAACTTGCACCTCATGACTACACCATGTTATGTACCAGAAGCTACAAAAGACACAGGCGCAAGTGGAATGTACAAAACATGGTGACATTAATGTTTAAGTAAATATAATGGGCGATATATTGCGTCACCAAAAATGATTGAGGTCATGTACATATATTGTGCGATAAGTCGATATATTGATTATTGCGACAGGCCTATCTGTGTGCACAATTCCTTGTGTTTTCACAGGAATTATAGTAGATCAGTTTACATAGTTTCCACACCAAGACATCTGGAATCACTTGTCACTGTCCATTAGTAAACTCCTCTACTTAAGATTTCCAGGTATCAAGCATCATTTACTCCCTATAAGTGCTGTTTTGTTGTCATAAGTAGCATGTACACAGAGTAATTAGTGTTTACTCAAGTTACACTAGCTGTTCTTCATCAACCTTTGTGAAACAACGAGTTCGACAGACGTCACGAACAACAACATTCTGTTTTTTTTTCTCCGTTGTTCTTTTAGGCTTGATCCCAGATGGGAAATGGGGCCCTCCTGTGCCATTCTTTGACTTTCTGGCAATAATGGACCAAGAAGCACCGACTTACGCAGCTCAGAGGGCTCCTAAAATGAAGACTGGGGGCAGGGAAGACCACAGAGAGCAGAAGCATGGGACCCCAAACCAAAGACAAACCCCACATCCATCACCAAACCCCCAAGCACCTCGCCAGCACTCTGAACTATAAGTCCTCTCATGGCACAGAAGGTTATGTAAGCAATTCACATGACTGCTTGACATCTGTTAGATTTTACATTACGTGTGACGTTAACATCTTCAGTGCTATTAGCAGAAATGTGTGTATATCAGAACATGGGTATCACACATTTTCCAACTTATTTTTCACAAATCGAATGGACTTTTCCTAAATTAAATCAAGCTAGTTTACATTTTAGTGCTGTAACTTTATACTGTATACACAGAGTGTGATATTTAAAACCTGAAAAATATCTACAAGAATGTATTTATTTATCCAACGCATTTATCTAAATGTTTTTGAGAGACTGTATTATTCCGATTCCTACAGTGCCTGTTTGGTAATGTTTTTATACAAATACAGAGCTTCACATATGGATGACATTTGTAAATTTGTACATTGTCTGTTGTTTCAGTCATGGAAGAACAGCAGCTGAGTTTTTTTTACCATATCGTGCTGCTTTCATGATGGAAAGACTAACGTCAAACCTGAAAGAGGCTGCATCTTTGGTTGATTGCATTGTTAAAGTTAATTAGCGAGGGAAGAACTACTTTTTAATTCAAACCATAGTTACCAAACGAGCCCCCCCGTCTTTTGTGTGCTGCCGGGATCTGTATCCAGTATTTAAACCCTAATGCAGATGTTTTTGGGAACTTTTTAAATACCAATTTTTTTGGCAATGAAATGCGATCCCAATATGTGGTTGGTGCACATGCGTTTTCACGTGAGCAGAAATGTTCATATATACACACACCCATGTGAAGGTCATTATATAGGATAAGCCTGCATGGAAACTCCATAAGCATGCTAGACCTCTGTTTACAGTATCTGTGCTATGTCCTCTCATGAGATCTCTGACTTCTGCAATGAACATCATTTCAGCAGTTAGTTGAGTCTCATTTGAGTGTTTATATGTGACCCTGGAGCACAAAACCAGTCATAAATATGCATTGCTAAGGACTTCAGTTGGACAACTTTAAAGGCAATTTTCTCAAATTGTTTTTTTTTTTTTTTTGCACCCTCAGATTTTCAAATAGTTGTATCTCGGCCAAATATTGTCATATCCTAACATGTAGGATACCATACCTCAATGGAAAGCTTATTTATTCAGCTTTCAGGTAATGTAAAAATCTCAATTTCAAAAAAATTGACCCTTATGACTGGTTTTGTGGTCCAGGGGTCACATTTTCCAAAACCTATAAGCCGCCTTGATAATGTTGTCTCTGTAGGCAATAGCTAAGCTTGTTGAGCATGTAGCAAATACATGTAGCTAAGCTAACAGTGTGATACTTTAATAAGCTAAAACAAATACAATAAAAAGTATACACAAATATTGTATTATTGAATTGAAATATTCCTTACTTTAAAATGTTCAAATCTGAATTTTCAGCATCATTACTCCAGTCTTCAGTGTCACATTATCTTTTACAAATCATTCTAATATAATGATTTGCTTCTCAAGAAAAACCTCTAAAGGCATTTCTTATTATTATCAATGTTGAAAACAGTGGTGCTGCTTAATGTTTTTGTGAAAACGGTGACACTTTTTCTCCAGGGTTCTTTGATTTCGACTGAATTAAAAAATTACCCCAAACTGTCCAACTGTAGTGAGTGTATTCATAAAAGCAGTCGCTTTGGCTTTGTCTGTTTCTAGCAGTCCAGTTATATAGTCAAATCTTAAAAGTTGAACTTGTTGCCTTCTTATCATGACATAACGTTGGCCATTAGTGAAATCGTCTCACAGCGTCTGGCAAGAAATGACTTCAGATGTTAGCTGGCAGAGGAAATGCACTAGGGACCAATCATATCATTTTATTGATTTTGACTAGAAGCTCTTATGGTCCCATCGATCTTCAGACAAATTCTTGAGAACTGAGATGAAATCCACACTAACCAACTTCTTATTAGATTTCCAGATAGTCCCAGATAGTCACATGACCTGAATGTAATTTTGATTTAAAAAATCAATGCGAAGCTTTTATGTAAGGTCAACCTGCCTGTTGGTTAGGATGTTTATGTTTTATTCATTTACTCTTGCCTAGAACACATGTCCATTTTAAAGAGTATATTGGCTGTGGTTCATCCGTCTCTTCAACCTCCTGACAGAAAACAAACAAAAAGCATGTTTTTAAAATTGAAATATGTAAAGGATGTGCTGAATTTCCTGGTAATATAGCGTAATGGTTTTTCTGTGGTTTGCACTGTAAATTATGAAGCAGGTGGTAAGTTTTGAAGAGTACATTGCTGATTGAGGCTTTTTGTCTGAAAGTTTGACTTGTGATGCCTGGGAATATAGTATTGGTCAGATTTTAAGCATATTTACAGCTGGCGATTTTAGCTGTCATTAAAGGGTTAGTTCACCCAAAAATGAAAATTCTGTCTTTAATTACTCACCCTCATGTCATTCTAAACCCATAAGACCTCCGTTCATCTTCGGAACACAAATTAATATATTTTTGATGAATTCTGCGAGCTCTCTGACCCTCCCATAGACAGCAATGTAATTACCACGATCAAGGTCCAGAAACATAGCAAGGAGATCGGTAAAATAATCCATGTGACATCAGGGGTTCAACCGTAATTTTACGAAGCTACGAGAATACTTTTTGTATGCAAAGAAAACAAAAATAACGACTTTATTCAACAATTCGTTTCCTCCGCGTCACCCTAGCGCCATTAAGGAGAATATCCGCTGAACGAAAACAGTGTATGCTGTTCTGTGTCAGCTGCGTCACACGGATACGTTGTTTTCGTTCAAATCAAAGCGTAAACAATGTAGAAAGCGAAGTGAGAACTAAGAGTAAGAATTTGTTTTAGCAGCAACTTGTTTTCCTTACATTCATGTCATTGTTTTCATAAACATACACTAAAGTTCAAAAGTTTGGGGTTGATAAGATTTTCAAATGTTTTTGAAAGAAGTGTCTTATATGCTCACCAAGGCTGCATTTATTTGATCAAAAAAGGTAAAAACAGTAATATTGTAAAATACTATTACAGCTTAAATAACTATTGTAATATTTTTTTTTAAATGCATTTTATTCCAGGAAGATTCAGGCAAAGCTATTTACTCTAGTTATCAGTGTCACATGATCCTTCAGAAGTCATTCATTTAAAATAGTACATTTTGTAACATGTTAAATGCCTTACTGTCATTTGCTTAATTTAGTGTGTCCTATTTAAAAAAAAAAAATCTTCAGAAAAAGTACTATAAACATTTTATGTACTGTAGCAGCTACAGTCTAATTTAAAAAAAAAAAAGATTTTGTTGAGTAAGCATTAGATTGCTGTCTGTTTTCATGATTTAGCAATCAGACTTGACGCTGCCCCAATGAATAAATTTCTATTTCCAAGCCACTTCATCTGGAGTTCTGTTTTTCCAGATGCCTTTAGGCTCTCAAGAAATAAAGGATGATTGCTTTGAAGGCTGAAGGACAGACACAGTCATTTTATTGACAAAACAGCCCTCTAAGCCTTTATAATGAATTTGACATTTAACATTTTGTAATTAACTCTCAGCGCTAATGCCTCAAGCAGCAAATCTGTTTTAACATAATGTGTGTGATTGCTGTCACGTTTTCAATAAAATTAACAACCCTTTTTTTTAAGCTGGACGTTCCACCACAGCATGAAATTTCCTCTATTCTCATGGGTTTAAGGTCTGATAATGTGGCTTATTTAAGCTAAAACCGATGACAGCAATATGCAGTTGTGAGTTGTCATACGCATGGCTTGTTTGGGGGGAAAGTCAGAAGCAGAAGTAGTTTTTTCTTTCATTTCGTTTCTTTATTTTGGTGCAAGTCAAACCAGTGGATTGCAAAATGTAATGAAATGTACAAGCTGCAACAAGAAAACCAGACAGACTAGTTTATACTTTCATTTAAGAATAGTATTTTAGTACTGAAAGACCAAGGAGGGTCTCCTTTACAGAATGTTTAAAGAATAAAGTTATTTACAAGATATACAGATGCTGAAGCATGACGACTTGTACAGTATTTACCTTCTTTTTTGTATAAAGGAGCTCAAATGAACCAGAAGCGCGTTATTTTATAAGGTCAAGGAAAGTACTTCACGTTAATAAGATGTCAAGTGTGAAATTCATGTTCTTTGAGTCACAACAGAATGAGGATATTCTAAATCATGAGAACAGACAGGAATGAGGATATTCACTCTTGCAACAGGATTTATGTGCAATACGGTGATTTTAGTGGGCTATTGTGATTTAAAAGTAAGATTTAAAGGCACAGTTCACCTTAAAAAAATAATGATAACATAAAATTGCTCGCCCTTGTGTCTAAACCTGTATGACTTTACACTTAGGGACTAAGTCTTATAGCAGCATAATGATTTACATTTCTGTCTTTTCCTCATGCAAAGCTATTGTGTGGTTTCAGAAAAGCAAATAATGACAGTAATGATGATTATTAGTTTTTGGGTGAAATAATTTTCTTTAAAGCAACCAAAACTTTTCTGAAACTGCCAAGTTTAATGATACAAGCACAGGTTTCATGCATGGTTTTTATGTAGACACAAGTAAAAACATGTTAGATGGACTCTCCTCTGACATCACTACACAGACACAGGTTTACCTAAGAACAGTCTTTCCTTAGATTACAGCCAGGTGTGTCTGCCACATTGAAACCCTTCATCTTTAATCCACATCTTCTTAGGAAGTTTGTCATCAGTATTGAATTGATATGCACTAATTCAATTTGTGTGTTGATGATATTAAATAATGATACTTTGGACTAATATGATCAGAGAGGAAGGGTGCACAGCAGATGAGTAACAGAATACCATAATCACTTCACAATAAATGCATGCAGGAAAATGCAGATGTGCAGATCAATAACAGTAATTAGATGGTTAGCTTCTGTTATGTGATCTTGTGATAAGTTGCTGCAAAAAAAAATTAGCACAGGTTGTGTGAGTGAGTATTATGTGTTTATTAAGAAAAAAATCTATAGTTTCTCACACACCTGAATTAATGTTGCATTGACTGAAAATACAAAATAAAAAAATATAGAAGGATTTGAGGAACTGAGGAAGGTCCTTTGACTGGAACATTGCACATTAAATATTACACAAACGTGAGTAGCATGTGGGATTTATATTTTTCTACTTCTGAAAATGTTAAAATATTTAAAGAAAAAATTAAACTTGTGCTCAGTGTGTATCTGCAGCCACTGAATGACCTGTCGGAGAGAAATATTGATATTTTAATGATTCAGCTTGGAATAAACATCCCCACAACTCAGACATAAAACTGCATGTATGTCCTTGAGCAAAACTTTCCATCTAGCGGATGAAATCCGAAAAATCAGCCGTGGATAAATGAACTTGGCCCAATGCTTGACGCTTTAGATTGTATCTTGTGCTGAATGTTAGCCCACATCCATCACAGATGAAATATAGGCCTGATATGCTGCACTGCAGGTGATGGTAGCCATTAATCTCTTGATCTTTTGCAAGTATGGACAGTTGGAGCTCATTTGCCATTTACATGTTTCATGCTTGGCTGTGTGTGTTTTATTTTATTTATTTTTTTGCAACACAAGCTGCAACAAGATCCATTTCTTTGTAACTGGTTAATATTCGATATCTTAGGTCACAGAAGGTGTGAATGTTCTGGTTATCATTAGTATTATTCTGTTTACTGTTTCTTTCTGAATCAAATCAAACTATTTAGTGGATTTAGTTACGTACGTATATTTATTTAGTTAGAATGTTGAGTTAAGGTTTATACAGTTTTAATTTATGTGGAATTATCTTTCTGCTTTAAGGAAGATTGATATCTTCAGTTGTAGATAAATACACTTTATTACACCGTTTATTATGTAGTTTATTCACAAGTTGTTTATTGATTTAAAATTTATGTTTTAATTTGTTTACATACACACTACAATTCAAAAGTTTGCTGTCAGAATAAGATGAGAAGATTGAAAGAAGTCCCTTATGGTCATCAAGGCTGCATT